GCACACTATCGATCTGTGAGGCTATTTTAGCCGCAGCTCGGGTCTTCTGTCACTTTGCATTCAACTATTGATCGCGCAAAGTTTTTATTGGCTACATGTACATGGACGAGTAACAAAATAGCAGCATATGTAGTAGTTTATTCTCATTTTCATTCTGCTTATTCCTCGGTAATTTGATGGGCGGAGACTCGCAACTACTGTACCTTCTTCTCTCGCGCATCCTCCTGATTTCACGACACCTAACGTATTCTGTGACGTCAGTTACACGTCATCTATTTCTTAACAAGTCAGATACTGGAACACTTGCCTTTACTCACCGATTCAAAAATTCTCTCTCAAAGCTTCTCCTTTAGTGAGACCCCCCTTTTTTTCATCTCCCATCCTAGCTACCATCTGCCAGGGTTTCTTCATACAAAAAGTGCGGAAGAGCGCGGGGAAAGATGTGGGTGGGGGATCATGTAGCCCCTTGAAACAGGAAAAACCAAGAAAAGTTTACAACCTAATACATTTTTCATGTGGTTTTTTTCATTTTTCTAGCCCTCAGGCGAGTGCTATTAGAGATGCCCCCGCCCTCCCTTCCCCTTTAGAGATAAGGTTGATCGGACTGAAAAATCCTTTGCAGGGAACTACGGCTCTGACTATTCCACGATACCGAATAGTTGGAGGCACCATTAAGTATTGGCTTCTTCATTAGTATGTTGCTCCTTCTAAAATGGTGAATGGCATCGACTAATAGGGCATGATGGTTGAGTGTCTCCGCCCATCCAGTTACCGTGGAATATTCGTTCAGTTCATCACATCTGTAGCGCAAGGGCTTACAGATGCTGTGATCTGCACCCCCTCCCCCCTGCCGGATGGTCTTTCATCTACCATAGGGGGCTGGCTGCTGTGCGACATGTCTGAGACAATAGAGGCAGTGAATTACTCAATATGGGCTGCTTACGCTAGACTCGCACTCCAATATTTCTGCTTTCGAGAGCAAAAAGTGAGAGACAAGGAGCAATCTAAAAGTTCTAAGGTATATTCAACGCTTGCCGCATGGGCGGGGTCAGCCGCACCGTGGCACCTTTTCATTGGTGCGCCTCTCATTGCAAGACGACAAAGAGGAAAACTGCGCCAATAAGGAAAGTGCAACAGAAGGTCTCGCTCCTCCCACACTATCAGCGTGGAGTATGCCCATCAGACACGTTATACGATGCACTACTAAGAACTCAGAGCTGTAGTGCAGGTATCGCGGAAACAGATTACTTTTAGTTCTGCACCACTTTTCTTTGAATGCAGTGGGCACGATTTCTGGGAAGGGAGGGGGTACTGCCAACGTCATTGGAGGAAGGGCTGCGAGAAAATTTCTGACCACATCCCCTCAGCCCTTTCACCAATCACGTTGGCAGTGACGGCCCGCCCCCATCCATTGTGCTCATTGTCTGCGAGACAGCTTTTGCCTTTCAGAGGTTTCACAAAGTCGGGCGAATTTCGAGACTGACTATAAAAGCATAGGAAATGCTATACTTACCCGAAACAATCTTTCGAATACCCGTAATTTGACGAATTAGTAAGCGAATGCTGATGGTAGATTCATTTCAAAGATATTTTTCGGTTTCGCTGGTCGACCAATGTTCGCCATTTTCACCGAGTCCGCATTTCTGGCCAGCAGTCTCGATACTGTACGCGACAAATCGCCCGCCTCAGTCGGCACAGCGACTCCGTCTGCCTGGAACTGCTTTCGAAATGGGGCGCTACGTCAAGGAAGCCAGCAACACTCTCGTGTGCTACCTGAAAAAAGTTTAATTAGTCTTTGAATACCGTTAGAAAATTGAGAATTATAATATCCATTTCTTTGCCGAAACCATCGTACTTGGGAGCTGAAGGAGTAACAGGGCGCAGGTCGCAACGAGGGGGCGGGTTTTGCACTTTTGCTACTTCCCATCGACGTGTCGGCCTATCTAGACAGCCTCTTCTCGAGTTGACAGGTTTTAACATGATGGCTTGACGACCTTGCTCCAGCTTCACAAGAGTTCACAGGTTTCGCCAGAGTGAGACTTGTAAACCGGAACTAAGGAAGTGATAGTACAAAATGCCCCCCCCCCCCACCGTCGCCGAACTGCGCCGGAGTACAGGCATGAGTTCCAGTATCTGACTTGTTAAGAAATAGATGACGTGTAACTGACGTCACAGAATACGTTAGGTGTCGTGAAATCAGGAGGATGCGCGAGAGAAGAAGGTACAGTAGTTGCGAGTCTCCGCCCATCAAATTACCGAGGAATAAGCAGAATGAAAATGAGAATAAACTACTACATATGCTGCTATTTTGTTACTCGTCCATGTACATGTAGCCAATAAAAACTTTGCGCGATCAATAGTTGAATGCAAAGTGACAGAAGACCCGAGCTGCGGCTAAAATAGCCTCACAGATCGATAGTGTGCGCAGTATTCGCACCAGGATCTCTCCTATATGAGGGGAAAAGCCGTTTATGAAAGTCAAGCGTGAGGTCGCATCATGGACCTTCTGACCCACATACGTCGAACACGAAATCCTGGACCTGAACTCACCTTCTCTTTTCGTTCCTCTTCTGCCACATCCGGTGGACTATTAGCATATTGTCTCAATGCTGCGACTGTCAGAGGCATCAGACCGAAACCATTGGCTTCTGAAGAGAAGGGAATATTTCTACCAGACTTTTTTGCAGAAGAAGAATCATCTCAAAAGAAAGGAAACTCACTTATATTACCAGGCGATACCGAGAAGATGGTGTTACGGCGACTTTGACGGGCACTGTTTGGAGGCGTCCAGTCCACAGAGAGATCCACAGAAACGTCATCGATACCAGCTTGAAAAGTCGAAAAAGTTGTAGAAAAAGATGTGTAGAAAAACATATGTGAGTGAAAAAGATTGGCGCTAATCGATTTGGAGGGAGCATTTGCACTTTCTTTAGTTATCAGATGCCAACCCGTCAGTTTACAGGCTAGTACATTTTAACTGACTGGATAGCGTCTGTAAACTCTTGGGAAGCTGCGAAATGGTACAAGGGAGCCACTTTTGTTAAGGGAACTCTCGCCAATAACTCTCTGGATAGCTGCTTTATTATGAAACAGCAGCTGATAAGTAATCTCCCAAAGAAGAAAACAGGCAAGAAGCGTTCCTTCCAGAACAACATAAACAAAATCGCTCCCTCACAGTCACACCTCCCTGCGGTCTCTGTGCAACCCCTAGCTCACAAATCTCTCTATCACATCTCGCAGTAGTTGATATCATCTAGTGCAAAAAAAAAGAATACAAAAGAAAACAACAAAAACGCAGAGGAAAAACTCTGGGAAGGAAAAAGAGAAAAAAGGAATTTTATCAACGCGGTGTCTGAATTTGGGATTACGGTAGCGCACGTTTTGTGCGTCGAGGTTTTGCATCACGAAAATTGCGTCACTCGTGCTTTTTACGCGTTTCACCTCGCGAAATGAGTTGAATTGAATGTATATATCCTCCAATGAGTAAACTGTAATAAAGGGGAAATAGAATTATTCATGCGGAATTAGCAATGGCCCGGCCGCCCAACTGAGAACAACTGAGTGGCCTCCGTCGGAGGACCTAGCAAGTAAGGCGGTCCAACTGAGCAGGCGTTAGAACTAGAACTTACAGCGGCTGTAGCTCGCTTCTCGCTCGCTGTGCAGACGAATAGAGTGGGACAGTCTCTAGCTTGGGGCTGTACTACTGCACAAGGGGGACGGACTACGTACTTACCTCCCGAGCGCGGCGGCTGTCTTTAGGGAACTTTACACTCGATCAGAAGCATGCCTTGCACTTAAGCCTCGTTAGGTACCATATAATACCCCCACCAAGCCGAACTGCGCCAGAGAAGCCGATATGCAACACTACAAAGATGAAACGCTGAGGATAAAATGTTTAGCAGTAATCCTACTCGAATGCGCCGTGAAAAAAAATCTTCTCCTGCAATCATGCGGCAAAAATAAAAGGGCAAAGTTCCGCTTGATTAGTCTCTTACTCGACGTGTGCACGCATTGCTACTTTGATGAGAAAAAGCTGCTCAGGGTAACAATCGTGGTGTGGAAACGCCCTCTTTCTTCGACCTCCCTTCTTTAGTACAACATCCTTTCACATTCCCCTGCCCATCTTGCCGTTTCTTCCAACACTCTATGAAGTTCTAAAAAACTTTCAAAGAATTCAACTCCTCCCTCCAAAAAATTAAAAGAAAAACGGTATTTGAAAGGTTGTGAGCCCTGACCTGCAATAACAGTATGTAGGTTATCGCCGACTGTCAAACGGCGATATCAGTTACACCGCACATTCCCCCTCCCCCCCACCCACCCCCCCCCCTTCCCCAGTATTTCCTCATCTGGCTCCTGACCCATCTCCATTTGCTATCCTCGCTCTCTTATGGTTAGCATATTCTTTCCAACTTTCTTTCACTTTTCCAAGCATTTTTTATCCTGTCCAAAAAACTGCCGTCAAACGTGGGGGAGTATGTAGTGAATATGAAATAGACGTGAAAAACCGCAAAAGGATGACAACCGGAGAAAATTTCCCTCTGACTTGGGAAAATTTGCTTCATAAGCAAATACAACTCTCCCTTCCCCTAATGGGATTTGCCCTGCGATGGTATATCTTGACGCAAATCATTGTATAGGCCGAATTACCTTCAAACGCCACAACGATTTCGAACAGAGTACAGTGCCTGGCGCCGCTCAAGAGCTGACCAATGCCAAACGCGTCACGTTTTTATTCTATACATAGCACGGGTGATTAAATTAAGAAAACATTGTTTGTAAGCGCACTGCAGCAATTGTGACCGCAATTACAAACAAATTTGATTACGCCATTACGCGCATAATTTGAATATAATTAGACATCTTACTATATGTTGACGGGGGAGGAGGGATAATGGTGAGTCATGCCGGGGCTCACTCAGCATGACCTCTCCTTACCATCCCCGGATCGGGTACGCCTCATCCTCAGAGTTTAAGTTTTTGCCTCCTTATACCTTTAACAAAAAATGTCGCTCAGAGTGGGTTTTTACTGCAGGCTCCTCTCTACAGGCCTGGCACGCCCCTTCTCCTGTATGGAACCCACGAGGCCTTCGATTTCAACCCTGGGAAAGCCTACAAACCACTGCGAAGGCTTGATAAAGAGAGTCATGCAAATCTCCCGAGTGGCGAAATCCCAATGTAGCTGGATGATCTGATCGGGAGACTCCCTATATCGCTCTAGACAAGTAACCATGTGCATTTCCGACTTCGGGAACAGATACATAGCGCATTATGGGGGTTTTCTCCTTCGATTCGAGGCACAACATGGCGACGTGAAAAACTGGTCGTTCATCCCGTCCCCGTTGTCTCTAGTTTGACCGCCTTTGACCCAAAACCGTGCTTCGTCCGCACATGTATACCGTGTCTATTTCCCAGAATAAAATTGCCGACAGGTGGAGAATGAGGGGCTATATGCTGCTCAAAAACTCCATTCTGGCTCGCTTTTCCAGATTTCCAAAGCTTCTCAGCAGGTCGAGTACCTTTCCTGAGCGACTTGAATGCAACCCCCTCCTCTCGTCACCCACCCTTTCGTGAGCGACTCAAATGCGACCCCCTCCATTGGAATCCCAGTGGTGTGCATTGATGAAATTCGACGAAGGTACCAACCCATAGGCAGCACAGGAGACGATCGCCCATCAGCTTGATCCGGCTCCTCTTCTGGCGCTGTCTTACTCGTCGAGATCGTGAACGGTTGTGACAAACGAGACACGTCCTTTCCAGCTGCCTGAAATCAAAACTGACACAAGGTTTATATGTGGGAAAAATTGAAAAGGCAAAAACAAAATAATTACTTCAACGCGATCCAAAAAAATAATTATCTTGCATTGCATTATACCGCATCATTACCATTAGTTTATAAAAAAAAGGCAAGGCTTTCAGGGTTGATAAGTCCCTTTTTGAGGCTTTCTACGAATTCTGCCGCTATAGAGAATAGTGGGGAAAATCTGGAACGGATTCGGGCTATACAGTAACTAGCCAGGGCCAGCTGATGTAGCCCTGGCGATAACAAATCGGGACTGAAGAGATCGAAGACTACCAACCCTGGTGATATCCGGTCAGGGCACTCCCTGTCAAAGAATGTTTTGCAGAATTGGACCCCCGCCCCTCAAAAGCTTTTCCAAAAGCTTTTCATTCTATACTACACCAACCCCTCCCCTCTCATCTTCTTCGATCATTCCAACTTCTTACCGCTTTTCTCCTCTTTTCCAGAGATTCCTCCAAAAAAAAAAAACGCCGTCAAGCGGGGTGGTAGACCCAACAATCGAGCTTTTTTTTAAGAAGCAAATACAACCCTCTCTCCAGTGACCAAACAGAATCGTTCTCGCCGGCATCCCCATCGCCCCTGGAGTCGATAGGGTGGGACCAGCCTCAGATCACAAACCAGAGATTTTTTTCCCGGAACACTAGGACTTTAGAGGTCTTACAAGAACCTAGGACTTGTCTGACCACTTATGGGCAAGCAAAATAAATGCGAAACTCCGGACTTAAAGGCACAGTAACACACGTGTGGACGGAGGCAGACAACTACTGCGCCCTGTTGTATTCGCTTTTCTTAGTGGGACAGTCAATAGAGAAGAGCGCGAACCTATGTAGATAGCTAACGCTGGCAATCCCCGCCATACTAGCGGCTGTCCTGGTCCTCGCCCACACTATGAGCGTGGTGAATTGCGCCTTCGAAATGACACTCTGTCTTGTCCAAGGTTTTGGTGGAACGAGTTGCTCGAAAATATAGTAATAACACAGTAGCCATACAAAGATAACATTCCACAGTACCTTCAGGCATTCGGCGACATCGTTTCGATCGAACAACGTTCCATTCACATTGGCGATATCGTCCAGTTCGAACCTTTCTACCTCTTCGGTGGGTTCAACAACGATTTTCACCTGGCTATCACCTTGCTCTTCGTCTACCAATAGATTCAAACCAGCAGGACCACGGGCACGACTAGCGACTACCTGAAAGGCTTTGAACCTTAGAGGCTTGGCAATTCCAAGGTTAGAAGAACTCGAGTATTAATGAGCAGTTGGGAGGCTCACCTGTTGTACATGCTGACAAAGCGATGGATTAGCCATGAGTTGAGCAGCCAAATTCATGTATTTAGCGACGAGATTATGAAGAGCGATGCGTTTCTCATCGGAAAATGGCATTGATTTATCGATAGCCAGCGATTGTAATGCGAATGCCAGACGGAATAGTTCGATTAGAGTCTGAAAAGTGCAACTGGAGAGGAGTAAATTTAGCCATGTGGAGGTGAAACTATTAGGAACTCAATCGAAAAGGAACGTGCGGGAGAGGCAATTTGGTGCGTGCTGCACTTTCGCTGCGTCCCTAGTTCCAGTTTGCACGGGTGAAACTTGTGAACTCTTGTGAAGCTGGAGCAAGCTCGTCGAGCCACCATGATAAAACCTGTCAACTCTTGTAAGCTCATGAAATAGCTCTCTAGATGGCTCGACACGTCGATGGGAAGTAGCACAGAGTGCAAAATGCCCCTCCCGTCGCCGAACTGCCTGGCCTTCACTCACCCCCTTTTATCACAATTCATGATATGTTTTTGCTGGCCCATATCCTATGATCTCATTTTCTGCGAATGATGGGGAATTTCAGGGCGGCGGCGTCTGGAGCCACGATAGCCCGTTTTTTTCTTTGGGCAAGCGACAAGACTGTATCGTATTTTTCGTATCAGCCATTTGTTACCAGTCGTCAGTTTTTACCAGTTTGCCAGTCACTTATCCTCTTCAACAGCTGGTGGAGAACGGTCTAGCAGCGCGCCGAACGCAGCCGACACGCCCCATCATCCACAGCGAACAAGACTGTACATATTACTGGAAAGGCAACTAGGCCAGGCCTG